AAAAAAAAAAAAAAAAGAAATAAAAGAAAAGAAAGATAGATGTGAAAACTGAGACTTGGAGTCTCCAGTTTAATTTCCTCTGATCTAGCCCCGCACAGGCACTCAGGGCTCTTTGTAAAACCTGCTTCTGGCCGGGCGCGGTGGCTCACGCCTACCCCAGCAATTTGGGAGGCTGAGGTGGGTGGATCACGAGGTCAGGAGATCAAGACCATCCTGGCTAACATGGTGAAACCCCGTCTCTACTAAAAATACAAAAATTAGCTAGGTGTGGTGGCACGTGCCTGTTACCCCAGCTACTCAGGAGGCCAAAGCAGGAGAATCATTTGAACCGGGAGAATCGCTTGAACCAGGAAGTAGAAGGTTGCAGCGAGCTGAGATCACACCACTGCACTCCAGCCTGGTGACAGAGCAAGACTCCGTCTCAAAACAAACAAACACACACACAAACAAAAAACCTGCTTCTTCCCCTCAGCTTCCCATCAGCACCTTCCACCCCACCTGCTGTCTCACTCAGCCCCAAACACACAGCAGGGAGGCACTTCCTGCCTCAGGGCCTTGGCACATGCAGTTCCCTCTATGCTGGTGCAACCCGGCCCCACCTCCTTTCCTCCCTGACCCCGCTTTGACTGCCTGGCCCTCCAGGCTCTCTGAGACCCTTTCTGATGATGCTCTTTACTCTCTCTAGGACAAGCACTGACCCTGAGGGGATACTGTGTGGAGTGGTCCAGTCCACACCAGAGCCCCGCGCGGCTGCCCGGCAGCACCTCCTCCAGGCAGGAGCCGGGACTGTCACTTTGGAGACAAAACAGTGTTTGTAACAATAACGTACTCACCGCCGCGGACAATCCCCCACCCTGATCCCCGGCCAGACCAGGACGCTTCCTCAAGCCCAGCCTTCCACAGAGAGTGTGAACGGTACAGCCCCGGCCTGACCCGGGGACCTTCGGCCTGGACGCCCAGCAGCTTCTGGATTTTGTCAGTGGAGGCAGAGGGTATCCGGCCGGGACCTTCTGTCCAGAAGGAGCTGCCCTTAGGACCATCTTAGCGCCCCTGTCCTCTTTTTCTGCCCGTTCTCCCTCGGGTCTCCCCAGAGGGGCCGGCGGAGGGGAGGGGGGCAGGGTGGGGCTAAGTTTGTCCATGCAGGCACCAAGGGGGAACGTCCAGTCTTTGAGAGCCAAGTGGGGGCCCCTTTTCCGAAGCCACTTCCAGGCCAAGGCGGTCCCCAGGGCTGCTTGTCCCCACCTTCTGAACCTTCTTCAAACAGTGGTACCAGTTCCCCTCAGCCAGCCTGCCTGCCCAGCGAGGCCCCCAGGTTCAAGGTGTTGGCGGGGGCGGAGGGCAGGGGAACAGGATCTTTCTCCCGCCGCCCACCAACACCAACACACACACACACCTCTAAGCTGCTGGCCGAAGATGTCACCAAGGCCAGAGACGCAGTGTTACGAAGGTTTGGAAGCCCCTCTCCTCACCTCCCACCGTGACCTTGGGCAAACCCAGACTCAGAGCCCAGGGCAGAGGCAGCTCACAGTGGAGGTCTAGGCAGGTCAAAGGTCAGTAATACGGTTTCCCCTGGGGTTGACCAGATGTTCCAAACATCTGCACCCACCTGCAGATGCATCTAAGCAGGTCCTTATGTACACACCACGTTCACACACACACACACACACACGCACTCAGAGGGACCACGTCTGCACAGATGACCGTGTGGGTGGGTGGCAGTGTTTGAGTGGGTGGCGGCGTTTGCTGTGAACCACGCTCAGGCCACACAGAGACACATATTTGGTTTCTGGGACTGAGACCCAGGCCTGGCAGGACTGTGCCCACAGATACTGCAAGTGTTCCTGCAGCCTAGAGGTGCTGTATACACACACAAGTACACACAGCCAGGCATTCGGGGTGTGGGTGCCACATGGAACATCCCTTCCTGGTCTTGCCAGGCACCTGCACAGAGCGTCTCCTGCCCCATCTCCTAACAGGGGCTGGGAGTAAGAGAAATCTCACTGCCCCCGCTGTCTTCCCCTCAAGCCTGCTAAGTTATCCCAGGCCTGTGCGTGGTGGAAAAGGCCAGCCTTGGCCCTGCAGTCTCCACCTCTCCGCTGGAGGACCGACAGGTTGCTTACCGCTTTGCACCCCGGCATCAGCACAGGGGGCCCTGCCCCACCCTCCGGCAGCTCAGGGAGTGTTTTCCTGTGAGGCCTCCCCCATCAGGGGACCAGAAGGAGAAGCCTGATGCCCCGTCCCGGCTTTCCCAAAACGCACAGGACACGTGTGCAATTCATAGGAACGGCCCAGGTCGCCCTCGTGAGTACCACCTGCTACAGGTAGGTGGCGCTCACGTTCCTGCCCAAATGCAGCCCACTGGGGAGTCAGAGTCGGTCCCCCGGGCCCACCTCCCAGTCCCTGTTGGCTTTCGGTAGCTCTCGCATGCAGTTCTATTAACAGCTGTCTAGAAGCGATGCTTTAGTGGCCTAACCGAGGGTCAAATACAGCTCTTTCTAGCAAAATCAGGCAGCTCTGCCCCATCTGCAGGGGCACCGATTAGTCTACTAACAGCCAGAGGTCCACCTAGCAGAGCGCTGGGAGAAGCTGAGCCGCCGGAGGTGGGCTCCTGGTGATGGGTGTCCAAGAAGCGGTTTCCCTGGGAGCTTCTGCCTCCGTGGGCCTCTCAGCCTGCCCGGTGTGGCCGCCCAAGCGTGGCTCAGCCATGTCCCCTTCCCAGCTTTCCTGCGCCCCTCCCCTCCCCAGAGTGGAATTGTTGAAGTGTGGCGAGTCTGTGCTCGGGACAATAAAGCTTGTGACAGGTCCAGGACCCCTGCAGTTGTCTCGTCTGCTCCTCTCTGTGGGGACCCTTGGCTTCCTGATCTCTCCCTGTTCTTGGGTACCCTGGTGCCAGGAGATGGCCCCCGATCCTGCCCTCTGCCAACTCATTGCTTCCCAGGTAGGCACGGCCTCAGAGAGGCTGGAGCTGAAGACATCTGGGGCTGTCCTTGTCCCAGGAGAGACACCTTAGCAAGGACAGGCAGAGGACAGGTCCTGAAAGGCCGCTGGAGAGGGCTGGTCCTGGGTTCACATTTGAACCTGCTGGAGGGATAAATAGGCCTGCAAAAAAAAATCAACAGAAACAGTAATGGATCCGCTCACACACTTGTGATGAGTCCGATAAGGTTTCCAGCTTCAGTGGGCAAATTCTGGTTCCTGCAGCAGGCTTTCTGGAGATCAGATCAACAGCACAGCGTGTTGCAAACTTTGTGGTCAAATAGGCTTTCAAGGCCGGGCGCGGTGGCTCACCCCTGTAATCCCAGCACTTTGGGAGGCCCAGGCGGGTGGATTACGAGGTCAAGAGATCGAGACCATCCCGGCTAACATGATGAAACCCTGTCTCTAATAAAAATACAAAAATTAGCCGGGCGTGGTGGC